GGTGTTCAAATGTTTGAGTTTCCACTCAAATGTTTATTTATTCTTTTTTTCCTCCTTGACATCAGTGCATTTGGTCCATCACAGAAGCAGTTTGGCTTTGCCTGTCTTGTAGAAGTCCCTGTCCTGCATGTCTGGAAACTCCTCAGCTGCTACAGTCAGCTCATTATCATCATTGAAACTCTTCCCATGATGATCTTCCTTCCCTTGGAGAAAAGACAAGGTCTGAGGGAGCCAAATCTTGTGAGCAAGCCGGATGAGGAAACAGTAGTTCAAAACCACATTTGGTCACTGCATTGTAGGATGTGTGGGGTGATTGTATTATTCTGGAGAAATAGCACCCTTCAGTTCCACTTTCCACAGCACTTGTTCTTGATGTCACAATAGTTAGCTAGCACAGAACTCCCTGTTAATGGTCTTTCCATGTCACCTATGTCAGTCATCTCAAGATGCATGCTGTCTTCAGTCTTCCCAAAGTAACAGTTCCTTGTGGCCAAGCAGATACCATCATACATGACCTGCCCTGACACTGTTTTTAGTAGTATGCTTTAATAATGTGGTCACCAGCATTAAGCCTTGCAGAAGCCCATTTTTATGGAGTGAGCAGGTTCTGATTTTTGAGGTGCAGGGCCACTTGAAAACGTTTACCTCAGCATATCAGTTGTCCTAACCGCCTGTCTAAGGTGAACTTCTGGCATCTTGTATGGTGAGCCAGTGTAGCCACATGGTGTTTTAAGGTCAAAAGTGTCCTTTCCCTTCCAGTTTCCTACTTTTCTCAAGATCCATTTTTCATGGCTGCAATGACATGCTAGCACTAAGTCACAGGTGCTTTGATTTGGTCAATCTTGTTTGATTGTTACTCAAAAGTTGCTCTGTCATGATTGCTATTCTCTCTTGAATCGTTTGCTCATGGTTTTTTTTTATAGGTATAGCTCAGGAGTGTTACTGGGTGAAAGCTATGCCAGAGCCAAGCAATCACCTCAGTTGTTAGTTTTATCTTGGCTCTCTTATTCTCTTGCCTGATGCAGGACATGAAAATGGCTTTTCTTAAAATAATGAAAATGACAGGCTTTTCCTGTCTTTACTGATTTCAGTGCCTCTGTTTTGTCTTCCATCAGTAGCATAACTAGTGGTTGGGAAAAGGACATTGACCCTGAGCGCCAAGTTAGGAGCTGGAACTGTCCCCACCCCTGTGGAGTTTATGCCCTGGCAGTATGCCCATGCCAGAAATTCCAAAGCACTCTTCAGCTGCTGTTGCCAGCAGCTGGGGTGGGCGAACTATGAAGCTGATTAAATACAGCCTGCACTGAGTGTGACTTCACATGACCTGGAGGGGGGACGAATGCTGATGAGAGCCTACGATAAGGATAGGTTAGAGCAGCCCGTCTGAGTAAGACATATGATAGTACTCATTGAGCACAGTCCCCCTTAATAGAGGTGCACCAATATATTGGTTGCCTATTGGATGGGCACCAATAAAAGGGAAATTTACATTATTGATTATTGGCAATGTTCTTCAACAATTATGCCTTCAGACCTGGGTGCCTGGATGCTTGGGTTCCCTCCCGCAAGCCAGGGTGACCCCAAGATACACTCCCATCCCCTCACTGGCAGGCCAGATTGGGCTGGAGTGGAGCAGCTTCTGCAGTGTCCTGGGTGCTGGTGCAGTGCAGTGTGGACTGCAGGCTCGGGCCAGGGTGGGCGCTGTGTAAGGTACCGAATGCCGCAGACATGACTGGGGTGGACGGAGCTGAGCTGCCTGGCCCAGTGTGACTGGATTCACAGTGCCTGGGGGTCCATGCTCCAAGGGTTGGACAGCCTACATCTCCTCCTCTCCCCCTCCTCCCCTCCCGCTGTGTTGTCAGAACTGCTCAGGCTCTGGTCCCTCCCCAGAGCACAGCAGCATGTGGAAGTGCAGTCCTTCCCAGGGCACATAGCAGGAGCAGAGTCCCATGTGCTCCGTGCCTGGCTGGGCCTGCCTCCAGTGGGGGCAGAGGGGGAATAATGGGTGGGGCAGAGACTGCAGGGGGTGTGAAGTTGCTGGGGCAAGCAGCTGCTGTGGGTCTGACTTTGGCCCTGACCCAGACTTAGGGATGGAGTGGGAGCCACAACAGCTGCCTGCTGTTCTTCCCCCCTACATGCACATTGCGGAGGCTCACCTTGCATCCAAGGCACTGGGTTAGGGGGATGAGGCCCCTCACAAGGAGGCAGTGCATGGGGGAGGAAAATGGCTCTGAAGGAGAAGGGGGAAGGCAGGAAAACTACCTTGATGTTTATCAGGTTGGTATCAGGCGATTTTTTTTAACACACACACACACACACACACACACACACACAC